CAGCCTGGTACTGGACTGTGGACCATAGGTTGGAGACTCCTGGACTAGAACTTGGGTTTTCCTTATACCAATTTAGTACTTCAATCATTATTTGTTGTATGTTGCCCAGAGTCACTTCTTGAGAGATAAACAGCTAATTTGATTAGCAAGTTAATTAATAAATCATTATACCACACTGGTTTCTGTTCCATGTATTATTCATATCAGAAGAAGCGAGCAAAGCTTTATTTTTTTTTTAAAGTCTAGGGCTTTTTTTTTACTTTGGCATAATAAATTCAATCTTGGATAAAGGATAGTAAAGGATCAGTCCATAGTAGAGGAGATGCCAAATCCCAAATTTTAGAAATTTTGGGGATTCTTGGGGATCCAGCAGGGAGTCTGTTCAATGGTTGCACTGTTTAGATGGATGCTTTTCTCACAGAACCTTGCTTTTATTTATTTGTTAAGTGTTTAAACACTTGTGATATTGTTTTAGTTGTTAGTTATATGCTGCTCAGAGTCATGTACAGTAAGATGGCAACCATATAGATTTGTTACATAAATAAACCCCAGTGGTCAAGAGTGGAACAATAGTTTATGTAGTTATCTCCAGAGTTCTACATTCTGTCATCTTTTTCTAGATAATATTAATGGCAAGAGAGTGTGATCCAGGACATTCAAAGTTTCTTTTCCCAAACAGTAATAAGATAGCAGAGAAATAGTATCTGCTATTGAAAAGCAGACACTTCTGAAAGCCCATCCTTTCTTCCACAGATAGATCTTTATATAGAATAGAATAGAATAGAATAGAATAGAATAGAATAGAATAGAATAACAGAGTTGGAAGTGACCTTGTAAGCCATCTAGTCCAACCCCTCTCCCCCTATCCAAGCTGGAGACCCTACACCATTTCTGACAGATGGCAGTCCAGTCTCTTTTTGAAAGCTTACATTGATGAAGCTCCCAAAACTTCTGAAGACAATCAATTCCATTGGTTGATTGTTCTCACTCATATCTAGAACTTTAATATCTTGGGGTGAATCCTTTTCAGAATATTTTGTTTGGGATCTCTAATTTATTGCTGCTTTCACAGTTGTTCTATGATAAGCAGTATAAATCCTGTCTATTGGCTTTGTTTATTGTGCATATCATGGATCATAGTATACATAACAAAAGATAAGATAGTGTATTCTCCAGCACTGGAGATGGAGAATCCACCAATGGGTTTAGACTGTGTTCCTGCCCAATCAGATCAAGTCAGCCAAAGTTGCAATGCCTGTCCTGGGCTAGAGTGTCCCAGTCTTGACTTGATCTTGCCCAAGACAGATGTAGCAAGTTGGCTCTTAGGCAGGTACAGTTTCCATTGGTGGATTCTTTATTCTCTATTCTCTTCAGTCTTCTGAGACAGTGCTGTATTCAACACTGTGTTTTTTCCTCTCAGTTGGCTGAAGAACTGTTTGCCTTTAACTAGGAACGGAGACTTTCGTTCCCCCCCTCCCCCCCACTTCCAACCATAAAGGCTTGAGGCTGAGGGGACTTGCTTCCCCTCTGTAACACAGCCCTCCTTCTCCTCTTGGACAGTATACATAGCAAAAGATAAGATAGTGTATTTTGCACTATCAGCATGTAACAATTGAATTCTTTGTATAACGGTTAAAGGTAACTTTCAATGCTCTCCTAAACTATGCTTCTTTCTACTAACGTGCTTATTATAATAGGAAGATAGATTTATTAATTATTTTATTATAGTTTTATACCCAATAAAATAGATAATATCTAATAATTCAGGAAAATTTCCAGTTTCAGTTTAGCAGTTTAGTGTCTGATTGTCCCATTAAATCAATGTCATAAATCCATACAATATTAATTAAACATATCTTTGGTCTGTGGGAGGCTTACCTTATTCATTCTTAGAATTATTGTAATATTCATCTAGACACCTACATACAATAGGATGGGGCAATAAAAGTAAATGTAATCTCAGTTGTATGAGTTTCTTGAGCTAGAATAATTGAATCACATTATTATTTTTTTTGCCATGTATAATAGTAATGCAAAAATCTGTTCCTGTCTATGGTTAATAAATGTGCTCATAAAATTTTACAGCCTTATTCTCAAGCACTAGTTAACTCAAACATCCCCCCCTCCATTTCATGTTCTGGGTACAGTGAAGGCATTTTCTCCTTCTTTTGTATATCTGGATTATCACGGCAGACAAAGAGGCAGGATGAAAAATGGCATTACAAATGTTATTAGCAATGCACAATAGATTCATCCAGCTTAAAAGCTCATCCTACGGGTCAGGTTCCTTCACCAACTTCAGCATGATGTAATATATCCAACTTTGTTTTTAGCATTAAAAGTTTTCCTTTACATTTGGGGTAAGAGGGTTGAGCACAATGTTAATGGCCATTTTGACCCAATAGTAATAGTAGCACAAAAGAAGCAGAGGAAAGAATGCACAGCTAGAAACACGCAATGGTAAATGTGTGAATGAGGGCAGAAAGGAGCTTTGGCACAAAAATGTTCAAGACATTTTGGCAGGATGAAATCTTGGCATGTTTCTAGGCATCTTTCTCTGGCACAAATTGACTTTGCTAGCTCAGCTGTCATAACAGCTTTTTTAATTATTTTTTTTGCATCAAGTGAATTCTTGGACAAAAGACTATCAATCACATAATAGCAAATCTACATAACACGAGGAAAACGTACTGAAATGATTGCATTGTGGAAAAAGTAAGAAGTTATCTGAAGCATGTGCAATATTGCTCATTCACCCAAAAAGCACATGCAAATAGGCATTTCAGGTTCATATTTGTCAAAGCATTGGGGGGAGAAATCTATTTCTAATTGAGATGAAAATAAACTCACTCTCAGAACTGCATTCATTAGAAGGCAAGAGACGATGAGGGAAACTCATGATATGGTTTTGATATTAGGGTTATGGGTTTGGCTTTATGAAAATAAGTCCTAGAAGGCCTGAATTTAAACACATATCCCATCGTTCCTACATACCTTGGGGTGAGATTTCTTTTCCCATTTGGAATAACCATGTTGTTTCTTGGCAATATTTTGTAAGTCACTTGCCACTGCTTTCTTTCTAGAGCTGAGAAAGATTGACTGGTTGATACATGTGTTTTTGTTTTTGTTTTCTGGAGGGAACTAACAGACATTACTCCAGATGTCCAACCTGCTTTCCATTAATTAGAGAAAGCTTATTGTTTTTCTGAGAAGGGCAATGCTTACTGCAGACTGTCCTTCAGTGAAAAGATTTATACTCCTCATTGCACTGCTGATTGCATAAAGAGCTAACATAAAGAGCCAACAGTCACTTCCTCACAAATCATGTTCCTCTCAGTTTATTTTTACCTTTACTAACTGACACACTGATAGAACTACCACTGTTCTCAATGCAATCTAGTGTATATGAGAACTAAGTCAATATGTAGGGCAATCATAGTGAAAAGAAGACGGTAGACTGAAGCTTGTGATATATACAGCATAATCTCCTATTTTCACTGTTGTGATATTAAAAAAAGGAAATAAATGATCTCAAAATGGATGATGTGATATTATGCTAGGAGGGGAAGAAGGCTTCTTAATTGCCAGCAGCATATATACAATACCGCAACTTGTTATGCGTGTTTATTGTTATTACTTGATTCCACTTATTGTAGAACAAATAAGCTATTATCTCTATGACAACTACAAGTCCATCTGCATAAGACAAAGAATATCCCAGAAATACAGCTGTGCAATTTGTGTTGTTCTCCTTCCTACAATTTCCCTCAGGTCATATTTATATCATAGGAACAAGTCATAGGAAACCAAATGAGACTTCTTTCTGAGGAGGCCTGAGTAAACTGATAAGATATCTTGATGCAATTGGTTAAAAAAAAAAAAAAGCTTATAATCACAGCAAAACTCTAGCCTTCTGAAGGGTCCTGCACATCACAGCTTGATAAGATTTTTTTTTAAAAAAATCTTGTTTTCTCTGGCTATCTAATCAATAACTACAGTAGTCCTAGTAGACCCACCACCCTCCTTGCCTTCAGGAATGCTGCTAAGACCCTGCTCTCTTTCCCCCTCCCCTACATTGGGTCAACGGGAGGAAAGCTCACATTTGTCATTTTGTGATGAGGTTGTTGTGGTGTTTGGTATTGTTAAGGAAGTTTTAAATTGGTGTTGTTATTTCTTCATCTGTTGTTAGCTGCCTGGAGTTCTTAGATATAATATGATTTATCAGTTCCATAGGAGCTCTGCTGGATCAAAATATTGGCTCACCTTATCCAGCATTTTCTTTTTCCCCCAGAACCAATGAGATAGCTCTGGGACATTCACAAGTAAAATCTGCAGAATGTAATCTCCCCGTGTTGTTTATGGCAATTGAGAAATCACCAGGGACAGGCAGAAAATGTTTGTATCTTTCCATCACAGATATGTTTCATGCCATTTCAACAACAATCTGCAGTTTAAAAATATTGCAATAGAAACGTGCCTTATTTTTTTAAAGAAAAATGTATTTTGAATGTAATTATATAAATGTATGTTTTGTCTCCCTTTTATCTTGACTTTTATTAAGTCAAATAAAATAATTTGTTCAGATATCTTTAATCAATACTGTAATTAAATACTGCTTAAATTTTTTGCATCACTATAAAACTACAGAAAATTTATGTGGTTTAATTATGAACTAGGATAGCTTTAAATAATCTCTCTCTCTCTCTCTCTCTCTCTCTCTCTGTGTGTGTGTGTGTGTGTGTGTGTATGTGTGTGTGTGTGTGTGTGTGTGTGTGTGTGTGGTGGTTGAATGCATATTTATTTATTGTTCTGTGCATTCACACCTTTCCTTCAAATCTTAAAAGTAAAGATGGACAAACATATTCTCAAACATGAAATCCTATGTTAGGCAAGTAAGCCTTCAGTCATGAATCATTCCTACATGCATTTGAAAGCCTAGTCAAATTTGTATGAATTATTTTCTAAATTAGAGCTTAATACCATTTTTTTCCACTTTTCAGATTGGCAACGCTTGCTTAGGAAACCAGAGTAATGTAACAGATCCTAGCATGCAGGTATAAATCTTGTTCTTTTTATACATTCTGATCACCCAAATTAAATTCCTGCTTTCTCCCTTGTTATGAATCATCAGCGTTCTCTATACAGTGTTATTTTTATTCTCTCAGTTGGTGGTTTTTTGTTTTTGCATTTTGTTCTGTTTTGTCTGAAAACTCATTTCTAATCTACAGCTCTAAATTATCTAAGGCAAATCTACTGATGCAGGAAGATGCATTGGTGTAGGAAGAAGACAATGAAGAAAAAATTATAATTGAGGCCCTCCTATCACAGCTTTTTATTCATTATCCATATTAGTATTTTTATTTATTGATACTATATCAAAGTTTAGCTGGACAACATGTTCCTGTTTTAGTTTGTAGAAGTCAATACTGGATAAAAAAATTAGAAGCCAGCAGTCAGGGCATTCATAACTACATCTGAATGACTTTGCTAGAGTAACCCTCTTGTACTAAGGGTATGCTACCAGAAGGAGAAGAATGAACAATTTGAACATTAGAACCACTGAGACATACTGTAGACTTGTGATGCCTCACATGTTGATATGTCTACATTGTGAAGTAGCAGATATCACAATAATCTAGATAGGTTTCTGGAGAGTGTTGGGGAGTGATCGTTGTCCACAATCACATCAGTAATATTGTAATCAATCAGTTCTGGAAGACAAATGTAGGCTAATGAGAAGTCCAGAACCACCAGGATATTTTCATTCTCAGAAATTTTATTTGTATCCTATGCAGGGTTACAGAGAATGAAATCCAAAATTTCAATATGTGGTTCAAATAATGACAGTATTTTAAGATATTTAGAGACAAATTTTATATGTTCTTAAATAGAAAATGAGTGATTTGTCATAGCAGAACATCTTATATCTATAGTCCAATGTTACTGCAATTTTCATCTTCATTTTCTAGAGAAATAAATTTAGCTTTATATTTGTCCTAAGTCCTAATCACTTTTCAACACACTAAATTTGGGAATACTGTAGCATAATCTAATAGATAATAGGGAAAGCCAAATTTTACAGATGATCATGTTACTTGCAACAAGGTTGTATATTTTTTCTTCTCTCTGTTATTTTCTGTTATGAATTTTAGATGGTATGGGTCTGTCTTCCTTGCCTTTTCTATATTGACAAAAATATATAGAACATATTGGTAATATACTATCACAATTCTATTCCTTCTCTGCTGCACTCCAACAGTCCATCAAATGGATTATATTGGAAAAAGGGAATCATTTCTAGATTTTCCATCCTAACCCATATTTTCCCAAGAAGTTAATAAAACATTTTCTAGAAAAATCTTCCTAATACACAGAAATGAGTGCATAGTTATTTAATGAGAAGAAAATCTGCATATATGCTATATTTACTGTGGATTCCACTCTATGTGAAGGCATACGAGTTCTCATTGTGCTCCATTTTCAACTGCTCTGTTCTCTATTCACACAAACCATTGATATAATTTCTTGCCTTTAGTCACATATTTCTTTCCCCAAGATAATCAGACTTGGGGGAAAAAGGCAGCAATTCATTATGTTATTTCTGCTATATTAATTATCATGGCTGGTCAATAGCTGAGCAAGCAAATGTGCAATTATTTTTACTTAGGAAGGATTGGGCAGCTGATAATTTCTTCCATTTTTCTCTGTGATTTTTTTTTCTTACACTTCTTCTCCAACAGAAATATTTTTTATTGGCAATGGCAGTTTTGTGGTGCAATGTAATCTATTTATTTGCTTTTCAAGGGGACCCAATTCTCCTCATTGGAGAGTTTTCTTTTGAAGCAGATCAACCTTATTCTTTGGTGTCCAAACCTATGTTTCCATTCCTTGCAAGTACCATTGTAACATTTTAATATTGATTGTGTTTTCTTCATTATACCCACAGAAATCGCACAGTCCTCCATGGATTAAACCAGAAAATAACAAATCAACCGAGAGAAAAGGAAACAATGCTGAAGAGTCAGCTAAAATCAATGAAAAGACTCTGTAAATGCCATCTTGCTATCTTTAAAATGTTATTCATTTGCTATCGTCTTCATCTTTTTAGTCCAGAGGCATGAAAATGTACCAGGTTTCTAGAGCATGCAATTTTTTCACTATTTTATGGATGTTTGTAAATTAGTCAAGAAATTTCTGAAATAGATTGACTAGTATCTTTCAGCAATAATCCAACACAAATGGATGTTTGAAAAAAAATGCTTTGTAATACAGTCCAGTTTTTTGAAATATTATTCTGCCCTGATCTGTAACTTGCTTATTATAAATCACTCTGTTTTGTAAAGAAAAGCTATTAAGAAGTTTTATTTTATTAACCAATTCTGTTTTGTAAGTATCTTTATTGTATACAACAAAGATGATTGGGGAGTGGAGGCTAAAACATATAAGGAACGGTTGCTGGAATTAGGTATGTCTAGTTTAATGAAGAGAAGGACGAGGGGGGACATGATAGCAGTGTTCCAATATCTCAGGGGCTGCCACAAAGAAGAGGGAGTCAAGCTATTTTCCAAAGCACCTGAGGGCAGGACAAGAAGCAATGGATGGAAACTAATCAAGGAGAGAAGCAACCTAGAACTAAGGAGAAACTTCCTGACAGTTAGAACAATTAACCAGTGGAACAACCTGCCTCCAGAAGTGGTGAATGCTCCAACACTAAAAGTTTTTAAGAAGAGACTGGATAGCCATTTGTCCGAAATGGTATAGGGTTACCTGCCTGAGCAGGGTGTTGGACTTGATGACCTCCAAGGTCTCTTCCAGCTTTATTATTATTATTATTATTATTATTATTATTATTATTATTATTATTATTATTATTATTATTATTATTATTATTATTATTATTATTATTATTATTATTATTATTATTATTATGTCAAAGCAGAGAAAGAAGTGACTCTACACATATATACATAGTCAGACACAGTAGTGTCTGTATTTCAGAAAAAAAAATACTTACCTATTTCAAGTTTTTGATCATTTTTGATCAAGCAGAATCCTATGTGCATAGCAATACTTATTATCCAAACAACTACATAAAGTTTTGGAGATTACATCTAATCAAATAAAATAGATTTTATAGAAGATCGGTATGGAAAACAGCTCAGAAAAAAGTTGGTTGCAATGAAATCTTGTTAAAAGTAAATGGGGCTTAAGATGATTGCTTCAAGTTTTTATAAAATTGTACAGAAAGCACAGTTGGTTAAAAGGGTTGGTGCAATATATTTAAGAATCACTCTCTTTGAACTGTAGCCTGCTTTCTAGTTATACTCTTTGTAGGGATTTCATGACTTTGAATATATTTTATGTAATTATGTCCAGATATATAATTAGCTATTTTCTACATAATAGATAATTAGATTTCTGGGGAGGAAATGGTGCTCATTTAATGAGACATACTAATTTTCTATTATCAAAAGTTTGCCTTCAAGTAATAATGATCATATAGTTAACATGAGAAAATTTGTTTTTTGGGAAGTTGTATTTTTTTCTGTATTGTATTAATAACAGCTATTGCTAAAAATAATGATTATGAACAACTTCTTTACACTAACACAGTACATCCTACACAACTGGCTCCTAATCTTTAGCAGCATACTGCAAAGAGCTTGCGAATATTCCTTGTTAATTTGATCGGGGAAAGGAACATCCTTGTCCCTTATTAATCGAGACAGAAACCATAGAAACATTACATGTCACACGCTCATAGTCTACAATTCTAGTTTTCGTTTTATATGAGATTCCTCTTTGCCCATCTGGTCATCCTCATATCCATTCTCTGAAACAAAGAGCTAAAGGTAGCTAAGCACTGGTAATGGATTCCTGGGTCCTTTAAGGTAGAGTATCAAAGGTACCACCTTCAACTCCCATGTCATTAGCATGAGGATTGGGATGGGGATGGTGAAAAAGAAATGGAAAAGTTTTACTTACCACTAGAGTGATTGCTGAACAGACTGTAGTCTTGACAAGGCACTGAAGATGTGTTAGCAATGGGAAAGTCAATACCATTACTAGTAAGGAAAAAGGAGGAAGCAGTATAGTTCCACCTTCAGTTCCATCCCAAACAACCTAATACTTCTTCTTAGTGGAGCAGCAGAACCTCCCCACACATACTGTGTACTTACATAGGACTATGCATAATGGTATTTAAGCTGTAATGGCATAATGGTTAGAGTACAGTTTTGCAAGCTAACTCTGCTCACAGCCAGGAGTTTGTTCCTGACAGGGCTCAAGGTTAACTCAGCCTTTTATCCTTCCGAAGTCGATAAAATGAGGATCCAGATTGTTGGGGGCAATATGCTGACAATTGTAGACCATTCAGAGAGTGCTGTAAAACACTATGGATCAGTATATGTCTTTTGCTATTCCTAATTAAACCTTACAGCATTTGGCAAGCAGCATAATCAGCTTTAGCTATTTTAGTGATTTCCAAACTATATATTTAACCCTTATTGTTCTGCTGGCAGCAAGATCTGATTGCTGGCACAGCAACGGATTCTATTGCAAATCAGGGCTGTTTCCAAAGGAGGCAGAGGAGGAGAGGTCCCGGGGCTTATGGAGCAAAGGAACTGGGTGAGGCTGTCAGCAGTTCCAGAGGAAGGGAGAGGGGCTTTTGGAGGAGTTGGAGGCGGAGGCAGCATGCTCCAGGGGTCAAAAGAAAAGAGGCCCCTTTAAGGAAAAGGTGGAAGAGACAGGATCAGAAAAAGGAAAGGAGGTGAGGTTGTCGTGCAAATTACAAGCTAATTTGAGGGCTAATCGACATGGAGCTCCATTTCCATCTGTCCTGTTTGCCATTGTTCATTCCCTTGCCTAGAGACTAAAATAGACATTCTGAAACTTGAGCTGGCCACAAACAAGGAGTGTATATCGGAGGTGGTGTCCCTTTGAGAGCTATATGCAACAAAATTTCATTTTGATGTATGCCAATTGGTGTACATTCAAAGTGACAATAAAGTTATTATTATTATTATTATTATTATTATTATTATTATTAGTAGTAGTAGTAGTAGTAGTAGTAGTAGTAGTAGTAGTAGTAGTAGTAGCAGCAGCAGCAGCAGCAGCAGCAGTAGTAGTAGGTACAATAATGCTACTTCTAACCTCTTTTGTCATTATCCTCCTTGGTCTCCATATATAAATGGAGCCCATTCCTTCCGCCTTTCTTCTATACCAAAGGTAACATTTGAAGAAATAAAAAATAACTTATTGTATTTATACAGAATAATCCCAGGTGAGTACCATATAATTTGTTCCTTAGAATGGTTATCATGATCTTGAGTGTAAGTAGCATTGTATGGGATCTACTAGTAAACGTTCAAAGGATTGCATTGTCAGTGACTTCCAACTTGTATCTACTTCTAAAATAATTTTAAACCCAGAATCACCATCTCTGCTGATGTCATGTAAGTACAATGTAAGTACAGAATTATTGTTGATGTACTTTATTCACAGCCAATTCCACATTTTAGAGGACAATTTAAGTTTTAGCACAACCACTGAGAAGGGTAGTTTTTATGCAATAAAAATGCAGTTATTGCTGTAGCTCACAAATGGATTATGCAGCATAACAAGAAACACAAAACATAAATGAGTGAGGATCAGGATAGTCGATACAAAAATATGAAAAGAAAATAATCTGATAGCTGACAATCTCTTTAATCATAAAGGGGTGCCTTGTACCCTAATACTGTGCTTATCCATCTTCTGATGCATCTTCTTGGTAGAAATCCATGATTATAAGATTATAGAAAAAGCACAAATGTGAGCTGCTTGCGTATTTGCCACAGTTACAATTATACATTTTGAAGCTTTCTTTCACTAGGTATGTTTCTTCATATATTATGTACTGAGAATTTAAATTACCCAGTCATTTCAAAAGAGATTACAAAACATCACTTCTAAAAATAAACCTTGTCCCGTCATCCACTATTTGACATTCAATAAGAGAGTAGAGAGTTTGTAATGGGACACGGTGATGATCTATACATTCCGTAATTTCAGCCTTTTAGTGCAGAGAGACCTAACTTCTATTAGCTCAAAGATTACATCAGTCTTTTTTATAGATATTGAGAGGTATACTGCAGAAGTGGATGGTGACAGAATCCCTTCTGGGAGAGAGTTTCAGGCATTTTACAGAGTGAATTGATGTCTTGCAAAAACAAACAAACAAAACCAGCAGTGTTTGTTTTGTGTTTGTACGATTTTTGCCCTATCTATTCTAGAAGAGGTTTTGGTGGGCCAAAGTAGGAATGCTTGCAGATAATTACATGGCCACACTTCTTGCCCTCTTGTATTAGAGCCTAGTATAAAGTGGAACAAAATTAGGATAGCTCTAAACATTCACTTTTCTATTTCTTCCAGTGCATTGGTTTGTTTTAGGGTGGTTCAGAACATTTGAAGAAAATAGCTACGGAACTGCCTTTCTCAGCTTCTGTACCATTTGATTTTCTCAGGTGTATTGTTTGCAGGAAGAATAGAGTAACTATTTTAGTTCCCATGACAACTTTATCATCACCCATTGAAACGTCTTTGCCAAAAGTTCCCTTAAGGCAGGCAGTTGCAATTCACTTGGCAATGACAGAGGCAACTCTTTCTCAATGGATTTTGAGTGTGAGGAATTGTTAAGTTTATATTTATAATTATTAGCAGTATGCTTCCTTTCTAGCAGAAATGGGGGATTTTAGTGTGAACTTTTGAATTAGTACTCAAGCAATCTATTGCCTTCAAAAAAAAATTCCCCTAGATTCAGAAATATAGTTATTCTGTATTGGAAGATATGAATACATAAAGAGAAACAATTTTCTGGTTATAATAACTACCTGGACTCTTTCAATCTGGGTTTAGGCTGGGCCATAGCACTGAAATTGCATTGGTTGAACTTGATGACCTTTGAGGGCTCAGGATGGAGTTGATGCAACAATTCTTGCCCTCCTGGACCTCTCAGAAGCTTTCAGTACTATCAACCATGTTATTCTTCCCAACCAACTTCTGGGGCCGGGAGTGGGAGGCACTGTATTACTATAGTTCTCCTTCCTCTGTGACTGGTTTCATTTAGTATGGTAGGTGATGAGATGTCAATCAATAGAATAGAATAGAATAGAATAGAATAGAATAGAATAGAATAGAATAGAATAGAATAGAATAGAATGGAATGGAATGGAATAACAAAGTTGGAAGGGACCTTGGAAGTCTTCTAATCTAACCTCCTGCTCAGGCAGGAAACTCTATACCATTTCAGACAAATGGTTGTCCAATCTCTACAATGTCCCTAAAATGT